TTAGCAACTTCACAAAGTATACTCTTCTTCTTTATGCTAGTACAACGACATAAACTGAATTTCATGCTTCTAGAATAAAGTACTTGACCTTTGTCTCATACAGTGTCCTCTAATCATAAACTGAATTTTACGTGAAAAAATCTTACATATTATAATCGATCTCAAATTATATTTAATTACATTTTTCATGCCATTTTTAACTTTTTAGGGGACCGATGATGTTGTATTTTCAACCACCTAAAATGTAAATAAATTAAAATGAAATTTAATTACAAGATTCTAGATTGGAGAAAAGTAATAATACCAAAGGAACCGAAATAAGTGTTGCAACAGAAGATCCTTTGAACCAAAATGGAGGGGCAGAATACATAGTAACCAATAGGAGAGTAAGAGAAAAGGAACAAGTGGTGATCAAGTTGGCGTTCATTAACCATAAAATCAACTGGCCCCCAATTGCAGAAAATATCGTTAAGATCCACGCTTGTTTTAGTGAAAGATCCCCTGCTGGTATTGCTAAATAAGGTTTGTTCATCCTGACAAATAACACATAAACACAAATACACTAAACCATGAAAAAGAAAAATCAAACAAACAAAAGTAAGAAGGCTTTTTTGTTTTGTTTTTTTTAAAAAAAAAAAAAAAACAAAACAAAGGTAAGAAGGCTTTTGCATGCACTAATTTTGTGGGGGGAAAAAAAATTACCACTGTGATTCTAATTGCTACGAAATCAGTTAAGAAGCACGCAAGTCCTGAACGTAAATTAAAAGCACCAAGGCCAATACAAGATGGCTGTATATCCTTTTACTTTTAATCAGGAGTCTTTGAGGCTGCTTTATTTGCCCATTATTGGTGTGGTTCCTTTAACTGTTATTTTTATTTGGTGATGTAGTTTAAGTTTAACAGATTGTTCCAAGATAATCGTCAAGATATGTGCTGCTATATATGTAAATATATATATTTATATAAAAAAAAAATACTTACCTATCAATATCGGCATCAAAATTCTGATTAGTGCCAGTAATATAAACGTTTGCAAGAATTATAGCTATTAGGCCCGGAAATGCCTTAAGCAACATAGACCATTTAAACAAGTGTTTGTTCTCAACCATTACTCTTGCAAATATACATCTGCTCCAAAAACAAAAAACAAAAAAAAAATAAAAAGATAAAAACCAAAACCAAAACAAAACATATACATAGAGTTGTATAAACAACTATGCGAAATGATATTATTTCTTGTATTACAAAAATCAATATTTTTTTTCCTCCTCTAAATTTGTGTAAAAGTTTACTTACATGGATGATATTGATACTTGAATCGTTGTATAAGGCCTTGCAAATTTATAGAAAACAGATCCAAAATGTGAGACTTTGGCGACCAAATTGGGAGCAACTGATTCAGGTTGATCTATGTCAAGGACCGGGTCTGAACCTTCAAATTCAAGTTGAGTGCATGCCTAAAACCATAATTAGTTGAATTTGTAAGTACTTCAATTGAAAGAAATTTGAAAAACTAACCAAGGTAATCAAAATCACAAGACTATGTATAGAAAACACTTGAGTAACGAAAAATGCTCAAATGGTTCAGCAAGCAAGCCTCCAACGAAAGTATATACTCTATTTCAAATTAATTTGAAATCCATATGTGGGTCCCATGAATTACACATATATATGTATAGTAAAAAGTTTGTACATAACATTTCGCATTTGTGCATGTCATTTATCCTCACGCAAAAGAAATGTTGATATTTTTATAAATTTTATCCCATTAGTCAAAACTAAAATTGTTTTAAGGGATCCCACATTTACTTCATTATGCATGAAAAATGCAACTAAACAATATTTTCATCATTACAAAAGGATGTTTGGTGGTTCACAAAATTAATTTGCATGATCATTTCCATTACTACAAAGTGAAGCAATTAAGCGTGTACTAACTAACTAATATGCAATTAAAGAAATAAAATAAAGTATACCCGACTATAATTACGATTATGTTGGCCAAATAATAAGGGCTTTGAGAACCTGCTCTCCCCATAGAGCCCTATCGGCTGGTTCAATTTATGGGTGGAGCATAATTTTGAAGGAAAGTTGGATGATTTGGTATCTAATTTTGTTGTAGGTTTAATTGGAATATTCAACCTATTCACATAAGAGGAGGCCTTAAAACGGCTAGATATAAAAGGTGGTACTTTAAGGGAAGTGTACTGGGAGATTGTGAGCTCCATGTTTGCTAAATGAAACAACCAAGAATTTCAAAAAAAAGGACAAGAGAGAAGAAGAAAGTGTTGAAAACAAATGCTTCAAGCGCTTCCAAATTTATAGGAGAATGCCATTGCCAAGTTTACTTGTCAATGTTACTGTAAAATTGGACTAACTATTCTTCTATGCATGATTTTGATAACGGAAAAGTCAATAAGACAATTTTTTTTTTTCATCTGAAAAAAATGATATTTAAACGAGATACGTATAAAAAGTATTAAATAATGGAAGCGGCAGTATGAATTAATTGACTGTGTATTTGAGTTACTGAAAGGTAATCAGAAAAAATAATCAGAAAAAATAACAGTCTTCTACAATTAGGTAACAGAAAAGTAACCAAAACATTTTCTAAAAGAAAAAATATTATTTAAACCGAGATGTCGTCATTATCTTGTGGTGGAAAAATTATTTTGAAGACTTTTGCGCTGTCCAAGCATAGAAGAGTAGCCACTCAATGACTCAAATGTATAGTATCATGACTACTATACCTGGAATTCTCCTACAAATGATTGGATCTCTTAAAGCATTTGTTTTCACCAGACACTTTCTTTCCTTTTTTGTGCTTCCTTTTTTTTTTCTTCTTCTTCTTATTTGGTTGTTTCACTTACTAAAGATGGAGCACACAATCTCTCACTCTTCCCTTAGAGTATCCCCTTTTATTTCTCAGCGTTACAAGGTCTCCTCTCAAGTGAATAGGTTAATTCCAATTAAGCCCACAACCAAATTAGATATTAAATCATCCAACTTTTCTTCAAAATCCTTCACCAATAAATTGATCCAGCCAGAACGGCTCTATGGGGAAAGCAGGTTTTCAAAATCCTTTTCATTTGGTCGACATAACCGTAATCACAGTCGGGTACAATTTTATTTTGTTTCTTTCAATATTCGTGAGTTAGTACGTGCTCAGTTTCTAATAATTATTTGAAATTAAGAAAATATTGTTTAGTTGCATTTTTCAGCCATAATGAAATTAAGAAAATATTGAATATGGGATCCCTTAAAACAATTTTAACTTTGACTCTTCGGGGAGATGGGATAAAATGAGAAAGATTTTTTTTAAAAAAAAAAAAAAAGGTAATCGATAATAAAATAAAGGTATAATCGAGACGCAAACCATTGCATATCCAAGTAATTTGTCGTGATTTTGTGCAGACTTATTGTTTATATTATTTTAAATAATTAGGTGTCATTGTAACTTTTTTTTCTCTTTATTAATTGAATAATAATTGTTTATTTTTTAATAGAGTGGCATAAATAATATTTTTTACCATTTTTTTCTTTCAAATTAGTGGTAGTTAAGTGTTCTCTATAGTTACTCTTGTGATTTGATTACCTTTGTAAGTTGTTGGAATTTCTTTCATTTCAAGTACTTATAAATTGAACTAATTTTTGTTTTAGGCATCCGCTAAACTTGAATTTGCCGGTTCAGACCTGGTCTTTCACGAAAATCAACCTGAATCAACTGGTCCCAATTTGGTTGCCAAAGTTTTACACTTTGGATCTATTTTCTATACATTCGCCAGGCCGTATACAATGATTCATGTAATTATATCGTCCATGTAAGTAAACTTTTACACAAATATATAGAGAGAAAAAAAAATAAAAACTGATTTTGCAATGCAAGAAAAGATCTAGTTGCGCATTATAGTTTATATAACTCTGTACATGATTCGTTTTTTTTTTTTTTTTAACAGATGTATATTTGCAAGAGTAATGCTGGAGAACAAGCACTTGTTCAAATGGTCTCTGCTCCTTAAGAATTTCCCAGGCCTAATCGCTATGCTTCTTGCAAACGTTTATTTTGATGGCATTAATCAGATTTTTGATGCCGATATTGACAGGTATGCTTTATATATAAATATAATATATATATATATATAACAAAACTTAACTGCATCCAAATAAAAATAACAGCTAAAAGAAACACTAATAACGGTTTCTGAATACCAATATGCTTTGCTGGGTGTCCATGGGGCAACATACCAGCCTTAAAAACTCAAGGTTTAAGTTATGTTCACTCCATTAATTACTTAACAATTGGAATCAAAATGGTTTTTTTTCTTCCCAAAATTAGTGCATGCACAAGCCTTCTTACTTTTATTTGTTTTATTTTTTTTTTTTCATGTAGAAAAAACCTATTTGCTTATTTTGTCTTTATGTGTTTTTAGGTGGTTGGAAATATAATAATTTTTCCTCTAAAAACTTTAAAACGGTATAAAAAAAATGTATTTACGTGTGATTTGAGATCAATTACAGTATGTAATTAGATTTTATCATGTAAATTTCTACAAAAGACAAGTACTTTATTCTAGAAGCATGAAATTAACTGTCGTGAAATGTTGTGCTAGCATATAGAAGAGTATAATTTGTGAAGTTGTTATATATTTTTATTTTCTAACTTCTATTTATAGAGCATCATAAATTCTCTCTTTGCTATATAGTGTACGGTAGAGAAAAAACAATGGTAACAATTTATATATCTTTTCTGAGTTAAAAAAAAGAAAAAAAAAAAAAGAGAGAGATATTTTGAATAACAAAAGCGACTTGTGCAGATGAGTACAGCTCACCATGCCGGTGTACTCTACGCCACCATAGTTTCTCTTGGACTTCCATTCCAATGGAGGTACGTGTTAATTTAGATATTGTTATTTCATATTTTGGTCTTTTTTTAATCAAATGAACTTTTGCCAAATTATGTAAATAATTTTCAATTAAAATTTTTTATATTGCTAAAAACATGCAAGAATCTCTTCAAAAAATAAAAAAATTAAACAAGAAATAAAACTTGCAAGTATATAACTTTTGTTATTTCAGTTAATGCCTAGACATTAGTTCAATATTTTATAGAAATCTTATGTTTCGCTTTCAATTTTACCCTGTAGCCCCCCAAACGTATTCATCATTACGTATGTCGCATTATATTTTGTGGCGGCTTGCCTCATAAAAGATATTCCAGATGTGGAAGGTGACATGAAGTAAGTTTATATTTATCATTGAATTTAGTAAATTTAAAATCTCAAAATTTTCTACATCAGTCATTTTTTAATCTCATAAACATGTTTAAGCTTGTATATTCATTAACTTTTCAAATAATATTAAAACATTATAGGTATAACATTCGAACATTTGCGGCGATAGTCGGACCTAAAAATATTACAATTCTTGGAATGGGAATTTTGTTGGTAACTTTTATTGGTGCTATAGCAGCTGCCATTTACTTGCCTCAGGTAATTTTAATTCTTCGTCTTTAAATTTGTTACTATATAGTGTTTGTTTGTTTTGTTTTGTTTTTTTTGTTTTCTTTTTTCTTTTTTTGTGGAAGGATGAATATTTGTATAAATATTCAAAATCTTAAATTATTTGAGAGGTAAAAGTTCAGGCTGTTCGGCCCAAGCCCGGCACCCTGAATGAAGATTTCATGTCAGACCAAACGGGTACCTAAGCCCGACAAATCTAGGGCAGCCCCATAATTTTTATGAGATATTTTCAATAGAATTTTTAAAGAGATGGTGTTTGGGTCGCGCTAGCCTAGCTCAAATAAGTGTTTAGGCTTAAAACCTCAGCCTGGCCCGGTCTGACCCAAAAGTTAAGGCCGGGCAAAACTTGGGCCAACACTGGTGGCCCTCAAGCTTGCCTATTTAGCGCTGCTCAAACTTACAGTTCTAGATTATCTGCTCAAACTTACAGTTCTAGATTATCTTATGAAAGAATGCCTATCAATTTTCTCTTTGTTTTCCTATTTATTTCTTGTAATTTTTGGATTTATTAAAGTATTTTATTATCCAACTAACTCAATTTGTATTTAATTGGAGTATGATTTGTTTTAAATAACAAATTTTTCTTTATAAACAAGATAACATTGTCGACCTAACCAATAAAATCACTG